TTCCTTGCAAACACCCCTCATATCTGAGCCAAAGGGCTTTTCCATCCCCCCAGAGGGCCTGAGTCTCCCGGTGGGAGCACTAGGCCCATCCTGTCCCGGCAAGGAGCAGGAAGGTGGGAAATCGCAGCCTCTCCACGAAGGTTTCTGGCTGGGAACTGTGGTGGGAGCATTTACTGAGTGGCTTCTGCTCTGTGTAGGGGCAAGGCCAGGCTGTCCCTTGCTTTAGGGACCTCCACACGGAGGGATCTTGGCATCATTGTGGCCACCTCACTTTCTGGGATTTGTTTCTCGCAAAAAAAGAAAGTAAATAAAATGATTCCTTGCGCTTGAAAAAATTCCATTTGGGCCAATATTAATTTCTAATCACTTTTTTCGTGGTAAATCTGAGGTGCCCTCCCGAAGTGGTGCCTGCTCACCCCCTGCCCTCCCCCAGCTCGCACCACCACCATCTCTCCTGTTTTCCTGCTGGCACCTTCTTTTTTTTTTTTAATTACTATTTTTTGCGCATCTCTCCCCCTTCACTTGTGTTTTTGCGAGGGGTGTTGAACTTGGGAGAGCCGCGAGTGAGATTTGAGCCGTCAGAGCAAAACCAACCCACCCACCCGCACTCTGAGAGACCTCGCGTACACCGAGCACAACCCACGCAGAAGACCCCCATCCCCTAAAATTCTCCCTAAACGGCGCAACCCAAACCTCTTTGCGGCTTCCAGGCTTTTATTTATTTACTTCTTTATTTTTCTTTTCCTCCCCCGAGCTTTGATGCCCTTGCACCAGGTCAAATAGAAAATAAAGCAGCGAGAAACCCAGGTGGAAACCCCCCCGGGAATCCCCAACCGGAGCCGGCGGGATCCGCGGTGTTACGCGGCCGCGCTGCATCCCGCGGCCGCGGGAGGGGGTTTGCAGCGGCTCCTGTTCCCTCTCTGCCCCAGACCCCCCCCTCAGCCCGGGAAGGGAGGTGAGGAACCCACCCCGACCCGTCCCCGTCCCCCCCGGACTCCCGTGGATCCCCCTCCTCTTCCTCCCGCGCCCACCCGTGTGCGTGGGCACTTCCGTGTCAGGCAGAAACGCACCTTATCTAACACTGAGCCCACCCGGGGAGGTGCGTGGGGTTGAGTTTACTGGAGTAAGCTAACCTGAGAAGTTGGCCCCCCTCCCCCCCCTCCGCCGGCCCAGCCAGGGGAGAGGGGTGGGAGGGAAAGGGGGGGGGCGTCCTGCGCCTCCGGGATCCCCTGGAAATGGGGATATCCCCCAAACCTCATAACTTTTATGGCTTCCTGCGGAAACAACCAGCCCTGACAGGTACGAGGGCAAAATCTCCCGGGGATGCCTCACGGGTGAAGATTATTGCGGGGACCCCCGGGTTTTTTCCCTTTCCCCCGGGGGGGGGGGGGGGGTGGAAACCCTCGTCTCCACCCTCGGGAGCTGGGCTGAGATGCAAATATACCGATACACAAATATACAGATACACAAATATACAGATATACAAATACACAGATACACAAATATGCGAATACACAGATATACAACTATACAAATACATAAATATACACGCTGCCAGGTCTGCGGGCTGCCCCCATTTTCCGAAGCAGCATCGCTGGGGACCGATGCAGCCCCGCTCCCCCCCCAGCACCTCCCCGGCACAGCCCCCTCGCCCCCAGCCCTCACTTGGGACCCACAGAACAGCCCATTCCGTGGCCGCTTCCATAGCAGGCCTGCAGCCACCCTCACAATAAACCTAAAGAAGTGTAAAAGCCACCGTACACCCAATAACGACCAACTCCTCTATACATTTCTGGATGGGGGCTGAAGGTGCTATGGCAAGGGACACTGTGCTTTGGCAGCAAGGACGCCTATAGCAGACACAGAGAGCTCTTATGGTGCGACTAAAATGCATTTCTTTACGAATCACCGCCCTGGCCGCCAGTACCCTGCCCACCCCTACATATATGTATATATGTGTGTGTGTGTGTGTGTGTGTGTCTGCGGATTTGTAAAGTATCTGTATGTCCCACGCCGAGCTGTCTGTGTCCATATAGAGGCGTCAACGCACACACACGCATATTCCATACTGAACTTTAGCCACAGCCAAAATATTGCCCATTTGCGTTCCCATTGACAGAGATTTACTGGGAAATGACGTATCCATACATTCGCCTGTGCGCGGCTTCTGAGCCCTGTTTCCTCCTGGCCGGCGAGCAGGGGGCTCCGGGTCCTCTCTAAAGCCCCACGACCGATCGGGAACAGTTTATTGCGCTGCTCGAACTTGTATTTTCTTTACAAGCCCCCCTCCCCTAAACCCCGCGGCTTCGTGAGCCACATCGGACAGGGAGATTCTCTGCCAGCTCCTTCCCTCCACCCCACGCTCCCCTCCTCCAGTCTGGCACGGAGCAAAGCTCAGCCTATAGGTAAAATGGCTCTGGCTTTATGTGGAAAGCAAAATATTCAGGATCTCCCTTCTGTTTGCGAAGGGAAACTCCAGGCTGGCTGCAAGCAGGACTTTTTGTGGTCCCTCGCAGCCAGCCACGCCGACAGCCACTGCAACGAGCTGCGGTATCCCCTAACCGGCCACTTTCCGTCCATCGCGATGCAAATTCTTCCCCCCCCTCCCCTCTGCCCAAACAAAGAGGAATTTGGTGTTTGTGTTGGCCGGCAGACCTTTACTCACAGGAAACTCTCGCCTGTGGAAAACGAGGGTGAAATGTGGTGGTTTAATGCAGGCGGATCTGGAAAACGGGGGGATTTTCTTGCCGCAGCAAGGCCAAGCGTTTGCGGGGGGTGGGCGCCCATGGGTGCTGGGGAGGGGGAAAGCCCCTGGCAGTGATTCTTCCCCCGGCAGAATGGAGCCTGGCATCGGGAGGCTCCGCTCCCGTCAGCCGGCGAGAAGGTAGAAGCAAATCAGGTGAACTCCGCTCCCAAATTAAAGGCGATGTTGGAGTTATTTTGAATTTTTTTACACGCACGCTCAGGAATGCGCTTCCTCCTCCTCCTCCTCTGGGATTGTTTCTAAATCGGGATCATTTGTGGTTGATTGTACATATAGTTTAACAAATTATTATTATCAAATTACTCAGTTTTTGCCATTGGAACCACAAAAAAAAGCAGAGGAAGACTAAAAGCAACTTTTCATGTGGGAGACAGACGAAGCTTGAAAGGGAACAGCATGCGCTGCAGAACTGCAGCTTCCCTTCCCCCAGAAAGGTTTCCGAGGTAACTGTTTCCCCAAAATTAGCCTCCTGAGCAGAGAGTTAAAATCCCTCGGTCCAGCCTCCGCGGCTCCACTCACTTCGCTCAAGTAGCTTCAGGTTTATAAAGAAATAGAAGGGACGGGACAATGGAGCTCCGGGCTGGGTAAGGGGTTGGGGCTTTTTTTTTTTTTTCTCTTCCCCCTCCCGAAGACAGAAATCTGCAGCCCTGCTTTTGGGAAAACATCGCCTGGTTTGTAAGGCAGGAGCGAGCTACCAAATGCCGAAGAAATCTTGGGACTTAAAGTTTGAAATAAAGTTAAGCAGCGCAAAGGCATGCAAAAGAATTTATTTTTCTTTTCTTTTTTTTCTTTTTTAAAGAAAGAGTTTGGAAGAAAAAGATGCGAAGTGAATAAAGAACGTGTGTGAGTAAAAAGGAATATAAATATCTTTGCATTGCTTTTATTTGCACATATTGCCGATGTTATTGTTGATACCGCGCTCCAGCCCGTGCTCATTCCAGATAATAAATACAGTAATTGGCAATTAATAAGCATTCCTCTCCGGGTTGAAGGATGAATTGTTGCGGAGTCAATCGTTTTGAACAACTCGCTTGGAGTAATATCTTTCACGCTTTATTAAATATATACGTACACACACCCATCCCAGAGGGATCCGGGCAGATTTGGGAAGGCGCAGCAACCTCTCTTAAAACAACCCTACGTGGAGAAAAAAAAAAAAAAAAAGCTATAACGCGGAAACAAAGCGGAGGCACCCGCGCTCCCGTCACCTCGAAAATACAGCCTAATTTGTACTAATTTTTTTTTTTTTTTTTTTTGCTTTTTAAGGAAAAAAAAAGCCAACCCCAACCCCAAAACCCCCAAGGCTGCTTCTATTGTGTGCACCCGGGTTCTCGGGGCGGTGAAGCCGCGGGCACGCCCGGGAGCCGCGCTGCGCGGTGCTGCGCGGTGCTGCGCGGTGCTGCGCGGTCCGCCCAGGGGTTTATGAGGGTTTTTTTTTTTTTTGCGCGGGGGTGTGCGTGTGAAATGTTGGGGGTTTTATGACATCACAGGCCCGGAGTACCCAATCAGCTGGCGGGTGGCGGGGACGGCTCGGTGGGGTGTTCCCTAGAATATACCGTACGCGGCGGCGGGGCCGCGAGTGCGGAGCCCGGGGAAGGTGGGAGCCGCACGGAGCCCCGGGCCGCCCCCCCCCCCCAGACCCCCCCCCCTCCTTCGCTACCATTTTTTCC